ACAGCTGGCACGAATCAGGAGCAAGACCGCTCGATACACAATGGACTGGATCAACAAACTTCGAGGAAGAGGTACAATACAAATACGAGTACGACACGGACAATGAAGATGAACCTCAACAAGCACCACGCGCCAAAGGAATGAAGGCGCCACAACAAGCAACAAGACAAGAAAGGCTTGAACATGAGCTGACACATTTGCCGTACCGTTCATGGTGCCCAATATGTGTCAAGAGCAAAGGAAGAACAGACAATCATCCAAGACAAGCAAGCAAACAACCAGTGATACAAGTGGACTTCACATACATGAAGGCATTTGGAGACAAACAAGTACTACCAGTACTGACAGCAATAGATGTCGAATCAGGTATGGCAATGGCAATGGCAGTTCTTGTACAAGACAAGAACCAACAACAACAATACCTGATACGATGCCTGCAAACATTTATGTTCGAATGTGGACGAGCACAAACAACACTATCAACCACAACACTACAATCAGATCAGGAAGAGTACATACAGAACCTATTGAAGGCCATCGCACAAAGGCTCGGAAACAACGTCAACATCCGACAATCACCGGCATATTCGTCACAATCACAGGGAAGCGTTGAACGATTCCATCGCACCTTGATGGGACAAGTCCGAGCACTGGTACAACAAGTGATCACAAGCTACAACCTTACATAGAGCGTACAACACCCGGTCATGCCGTGGATTGTGCGGCATGCGGCATGGCTACTGAACAGGTATGCCATGCACAATACGGACAAACAAGTTACCAAAGACGATGGCAAAAGGATCACAAAGCACCACTATGCGAGATGGCAGAAACAATACAATACATGATCCCAACAACAAAAGCACAACCCAAGATGGAACCAACATTCTTCAAAATAATCTGGCTTGGCAGAGATACAATGACCGGAGAGTCAATAGTTGGCATCCCTGGCAAGGTCATCAGAGCAAGAACAATACGAAGACAGATCATGCCAGACAAGTACGACAAGCAACTACTGGATACGATCCATGTGTATCCATGGAATTTGCCAACCTCACCAACGGCAATTCCACCACAATTGCTTCTTCCAGCAGACAACACTGCTAGCAGACAAGCAATTGGCACACAAGCCGACATTACAGTGGAAGACACAAGCACACAGACACCACAAGACACACCATTGGCACTACCAGCAAGAGCAACACATCATCCAATGGATGCAACAATGGCAACATCACCATTGGCAACATCACCAGCATCAGTGACAAGACCACCATTGCCACTGCCTCCAACAAGCAAGAGACAATATGAGGAGCCTACAGGAGAAGCACAATCCAAGCAATCGAGGACAGCACAATCCTCAACAGCAGCAAGCCGAGGACAAGATGAAGAGCAACCAAAGGCAAAGATGAGAATACAAGCAGTGACAATCACCACAAAGAAAGGTGACAAGATCACCACAGCATCCTGTGAAGATGAACAAGAAGCAGACGTGGAAAGGATGCTACAAGAACCTTTTGTCTACGACAATGAAGGTCTTGATCCATTGAAAGTATAACAAGGAATGAAGAAAGAAGCACAATCGATGAAGACACAGGGAGCGTTCACAGAGATGAACTACAATGACATCCCTGAAGAACACAAGAACAAGATCATAGAATCCAAGCGGGTTAACAGACCCAAACAAGATGAAGTGCGATGCCGCATAGTAGAAAAAGGATACTTGGAAACAATCCAAGACCTTGACAACATCTATGCAAGCACACCAATCTTTGGGATCTTCCGTATCCTACTGACAATGGCACAGCACAACCACTGGACAATACAAGCAGGAGATGCGTCAACAGCCTTCCTGCATGCACCAGCGGCAACAGACAATCTCTACATGTGGCCACCACCAGAACTATACCCAAGTGGTCACAACACAACCACAGTGTGGAAGCTCAACAAAGCAATCTATGGACTACGATCAAGTCCTAAATCTTGGCAGGATCACTTTGCACAAGTCCTACAACAAATGGGACTGTCTCGACAAGTGAACCCAACGTATACAGAAACAATGAACAGACAATGTTTGTGATGGTCTATGTAGATGACCTACTATTCCTGGGACAACAACAAGAAGTCGACAAGACTTTCAAAGAGGTACAAAAGCATGTACTACTACGACCAACTGGCACACTGGGAATTGGCCAGACAATCCAATTCCTGGGCAGAGACATCCACAACAATGGAGATTACTTTGAAGTGAGCCTCAAGCCAGAATACATCACAACATTGTTGAAGGAAACAAAAATGGAAGCAAGCAATCCAGCATCAGCTCCAGGGACGGCAACCCTGAAACGATCCACAAACGATGATGCACCTTTGGACGCACAAGAACGTGCAGACTACAGGAGAACAGTAGGAAAGCTACAATGGCTGACCTACACAAGACCAGACATCAGCTTTGCAACAAAAGAACTGGCACGAGACTTACAACAACCAACGCAACATGGCCTACGCAAGATGAAGCATCTTTTACGATACCTCAGGGGAACACAACAGTACAAAATGATCCTGAGGACAATGCGTACACCACAAACAAAGGAACCCATCGACCTCAACATTTATGTCGATGCGGACTGGGCAGGATGCCCAATGATGGGGTCCGTGGTACAATTTGGAAGCAGAACACAAGCAGTAGTAGCACTATCATCAGCAGAATCAGAGCTTTATGCAATTGGCACAGAAGCACAAGAAGGACTACATATAGCAAACTTCATCAAGGAAGCAACAACAACAAAGGTGAACATTCGTATACATACCGACAGCACAAGCGGAAAGAGCATAGCAACAAGAATTGGCTCATCAAAGAAAGCAAAGCACATCGACCTAAAGGACCTCTTCATACAACAACTGGTACAAAGCGGGATCCTGTCAATACAGGCACACTGGCAAAGTATGTCCCGGCAGAGGTGCTTAACAAACACCTCTACATGGCGGGCATTCAATGCCCACAACACCACAACTGAACAACGGCCGTACAGAACAGTTTCACAACCATGGCAGCATCTATGCGTGTGCAATACAACTCAATACACACACGGGGGCATCAAGCCATGGCACACTATTCTAGCTACTATGCGCATACTATGTCATAGACAATATATACTACAAGATTTCAGTCTCACAATGGGTCCGACCTTTCTTTCCGTCCTTTCGGAGAACAATACGATGAACAATTGTGTTTGAAGTTTTGCCTTTTGAAATTGAATCACAATGCATGTTCAGTTGACAATTTGTCAACAATTCTTTCGACCGCAGCCGCTTCTCAGCTCACAAGTGCTGACAATCGGGATCGACTATTTCGAGGACAATTTCAAGGGCAACAATGACCATGGAGATGACAATTCCAGACTACCACAATCACCGTCCACTCCCCACAAACTCGACAATTTCCTTGTGGGAGGACCGAGCAGTCCTATACAATGAGGACAATGTGGAAAGTCAAGTCATCTTGCCGCCCAACTACAAGGACAGTCCGTGGCGTGACGTCTTGGACAATATCTCCACATACTGGTTCGGCAGTGACAAAGGTGGAGTATACAATGATGCTGAACGAGGACAATGAGATCGACAAGTTGCCCGGGAGCCTGAGGAAGCCAGGGAACAATTCATTACGTTGCCCACGACTGAAGAGGCCGTACAATGGTTGGCCTACCACCAGTCAATGGGGCACACAATGACAAACGATCAGACAATAGTCCTGGCCATCAGCTTTGATCTCCACAATATGGCGCACCACATGGCAGGGAAGAAACTATCTTCCTTCCAACGTGGCTACAGCGTGCAAGTGCTTCAGGTGCACGCACCACACAATTATAGGTTCACTGAAGCCAAGAAGAACAATGTGCGAGCACTGCATTTGAACTACAATGCAGCCAACAAGTTTGACCGATACAATTGGTCCAATGGGTAGATTTGGAACTATGGCCACACAATGCACGTGAAGACCATGTTGACAATCTCATGCAAAGGACTCACCTCACCATACAATCTTGGGAATAGCTCTGACGGACTTGGGACAGTATGGCCAGTCACAACTCCCAGAAGATGTACAATTGGTTTTGGGACAATACAAGGCTGAGAAGGGGATTGACACATACCATGTGACAATTCCCAAGAGGCAAAAACGTGGTCATCCTGACCACAGATCAAAGAGCGGGCTCATACAATCGAGATGGAGATGTCAAAAGGAGAAAAAGAGAAAGGACAAAGCGTCTCCGACAATCTCAAGATGACAACATGGAGGACACGCAGGGCTAGAACAATAGTCCAACAATCTGCAGATCTCTGGCAAAGACAATGCCTACGTGCACCACGAGCACAACGACTAGAGAAGGGAACAATGCTGGAGAGACAATGATGCAGAGAAGAGCACAGACTTGCCAACAATTTTTGAACTGCTTTATGTACAATAATGTTTCTTTCCGGTTTCAACAATGTTTGTCGAGATGGTGTGATTCAACAATGAATCAAACCAAGGGACGGTGTCAAGATACAATCTTTTGTACAATTGCATGTTTACTCCATCGTAGTGTTCATGTACAATGGCTTGGTGCTTCACAATGCACCTTAGATCAAAGGCCTTGAGCCTAAGGACAATTGCCAGAGGAAAACAATACAACCGACGTGCACAAACGTGAAACAAACAGCTGCTGAATTTTACATCTCTGGGCAGCTTTGGAAGACTTCTTGCCTGCATGTCAGATCAGAAGAGCACACCCCACTACAGTCTAAATCCCCGCTTGGTACCACACCGGTTCAGGCCGTCCGTTTTCGCTCCGGCCGCTGCGTGTGGAAGACTGCTGTTTGCAGCTTGCCTGAAACTAACTCAAAGATCTAACTAAAGTGAAGCGGCATGCAATCCTTGAAGTGCTCCTACTAGAAGCTTGTTCTGACCCGCAGCACGGCACAAGGAATGCGCAGAGTGCCGTGTCGCAGTCCAAAAACGATCTTCAAGGCGATGGCTGCGATGGCTCACTCAGCTGCTGCTCGGCTGAGAGCACTCCAGCCATCGGCAGGCTGAGGCGTTGGGACCACTCGCGCTGGGCTGACAGCTCGACGTAGCGCTTCCAGTGGTTAATGAGCTCGGGACTGGCGGATGGCAATGCTTCGATCAAGATGCGGTAGGAGCCACTAGTGTTGAATTTGAAGCTGGATTGGCCACGCAGTGAGACCTGATTGGATAAGTCGCCACCGAAATCTCCTGCTACACTGCCGCCTCGCCTTGTGTGCCATGCCTTCAGCGTCTCTCCACTCTTTGTCACCAGATCTATCGTATGCCATCCATACGGTGCAATCACCCACTTCCGGATGCTTTCGAAGCCTTCTTGCGAGGAATCCACGATCTGCCACCCAGGAGGCAGGTCGACATGCAATCCATCCATGTCGTGTCCAGCCTCGGTGCTGTGCGGAGGCCCTGGCGGCCACACTGAGAACGTGCGGCCACCATACTGGATGCAGTTTTCTGGCGGTAGAGATGTGCCGGATGGGCTCACTTCCATCGTTTCCACATGGTTCCCATAGACAATGTCTATCTTGTCATCATGAGTAACGGTGCTGTAAGCAGCATAAGACAGAGTGATCTTGTTTCCCTCTCGGTCCAGATTTTGGGAGACCCCTTTCCCTTCATCCAGAAGGGCTGCATTTTGCAGGCCGCGGGCCTTCTCCGGTGTTAAGTTGAGCTCATCCTTAATGCCATCCACCGCCTCCTTCCAGCACTCGATCTTGTAACCCTTGTGGTGGATGAAGCCACGGCCCGAGCCACAGCGGCTTGGAACGACCCTGCCACCATTCGTCTCGACCTTGTCCTGTGCCTTGGTTCGTACTTCCGAAACGGCTGGAATGACGTACCCAAACAAACCTCCGATCAGCAACTTACTGATCCAATACGGACTTCAAACACCTCATTTTGTAGAGACAACTACCCAGAATGTCCCCCTTCGAATACCTTCATAGGGCTCAAGATCACAAGCTTGGGACAGCTCAGATAGCTCACATCCCACATCCCCAAAAAACACTCTTTCCCCCATCCTCCCAACAGACGGCTGCAAATGGCTGCAGAAAAATTCGGCCTGCGTTCAAGAAGAGAAGTCCTAAGCATCTTAGTTCAGTGGCAGAGTGTGCGCCAGGTGAAGGTGAACCTGAACCTGAACTGGAACTGCTCTAGTTCAGGTATGGGTTCGAGTTCGGGCGGGGGGGGTAATGTTGAGTGGTTGAGGCAAGGCACATCTTTCACGGCCTCATCAGTGGCAGATCCTTGCCCTGTCAACCAGGCCTTGGCCGTCTGAATCTTTGTGTTGCCTTTCTCAACCATCGTCAAAGGGCGCCATATCACCTGGCAGACAGGTGTGGGACCTTCCAGTTTTGCTCGTACTTACTCGGACTTGGCTTACAGGGAGTTCGCTTGTTAAAACAATGAGTCCAAGCTTGGCAACAGCTACTCTCAAAATGATGGGCGAAAGCCATACTCATCATCTGGCTTGGATTTCCTCCCAGCCTGCAAGCGCGCTGGGCTGCTGTGATCATCGAAAAAGTCTTCAACACCCATCTTCGTGACTTCAAGTGACATCTCGTCCCCACTGTTGTCCTTGTAAAAGATGTTGAAGTCACCCATGCTCAAGCCAGCTTTGTCCAAAACTTCATGTAAGTACTCCCTCTCCGTCCTCCATTTCACGACTTTGGGCTGACCTTCGTTCTTTTCCTCCAAGAACTCGACCTTCACTTGCGCCGGCCAGGCCGCCTGTTTCTTCTCCGGCACAGCGCTCTTCAAGGCTTCTATCTTCTTCATCGCCTCTGGCGCATGCCTCCTGCCAGGCACCCCAAAACCAGGCGGAGTGAACAACACACATCTCATATGCTCTGTCCAGGCCAAGAACCTTAGTGAGCGCAAAGAAGAACATCGGCCCAGCCCGCAAGAACATCGGAGCTTCGAAAGGAATAGACTATAGTGATAACAACTAACTAACTAACTAACTAACTACCTTTTAAAATGACCTAAATAAACTAAGTAATCGTGTTCTAACTAAACTAAATAGACTAAACTAAACTAAATAAACTAAACTAAACTAAAGTAACCAACTAACCAACTAACCAACTAACTAAACTAAACTAAACTAAGCTAAATTAAACTAAACTAAACTTAACTTAACTAACCCAACTAACTAGTGCCCTCCGGTGTTATTTTTCATCAAAAAATGTCGAAGTCGCCGTAGGTCTGGTCAAACCAACTTGTGGGCAACCCTGTGTCTCACCAACCATCCACCACAAGGGTTCTTGACACCAGTCACCAGTCACCCGGTCCATGAGACGTTCTGCGGCCGTGTGGCAAACAGGACCACAACAGCGCATTCTTCCGCACGCGGGACATCTGATGGCTTCTGTCGCTTTAGGACTTGTACTCGCCCCTGGCGCTTGAGTGACAAAACCTGGCGCTGGAGCGTCCAGACACCTGACGTGTTCCGTCCAAAGGCTGGCCTTCTCAGTGCAGTTCACTTTGAAACTGGAATCTGTGGCAAGGAGTCTTCCGACAATGCTACTGCAGGTTTCCTTTGGAAGTGGCTACAACACAATGTGTGTGGTGCCTCTCTTGGGTTGGTGGCCTTCAAGGATCGTTGCAAGGTGTCTTTGCGTCCATTCATTGTCACGACTAGACTCGGAGACCTCAGCACTCCCCCCTTTCCGCGGCTCAGGCTCCCCGGCCACGCGAAAGGCGCTCCAGGCCACGTGCGCGGGTTGGGACCCACCTGAGACGGCGACGTGGGCAACACGGGCCGCACGGATGGAGAGGATGGCCGGAGCCAACTGGGAAGACCACGGTGGAAAACCGTAGGAAAAAGAAGGTTCCTTTGACCAATTGGATGTGCTTTTCTCCAAGAAGAACCTTACCCTTCCAAGAAAACAAGAAACATGAAAGGCCAAGGTGGATTCAGGGACGAAAAAAAAACATTAAGGAAATGCCCTCGTTGGGCGCCCTTCGATGTCCCTCGTCACAGGTCTTCAATACACGGCATCCAAATTGATGAAACAGAGACATATAACTTGGTCGAGCAACTCACCACAAAGTATTGGAATACCTGCGCAAATTTGGTTCTGACTATTAGACACCTAGCCGCCCTGGATGTTACATGTTTTGATGCTAATGCTTTGGGATATTCCTAATACATTCTAATACAACAAACAAACGACGCCTGACGCGTTCCGTCCAAAGGCTGGCCTTCTCAGTACAGTTAGTTCAACTGATGGAACGTGGAATTTCTGGCAAGGAGTCTTCCAAAAAGGATTGAGATGAGACTCTGCAAGTTTCCTTTGGAAGTGCCTAAAACGGTGTGCAGTGTCTCTCGGGCTGGCCGCCTGGCCTTCAATGATCGTTGTTGGAGGAAGCCACTCGGTCGCTCAGCTGTGGAGGAACCCAAAAGGAATCGGTCGTCCAACTTTAAGACGCTAACGTTCAAGGAAAAGGCATCATCTCAATCTCAGTCAGCACGTCCTGCAGTTCTCCTTTCCAAATAGGCTAAGCCTCACCTCCCGGGTCCCCTTGCATTATCTAGACCTGGGCCCCCCCTTCCACGGCTCAGGCGGAGGCGCTCCAGGCCACGTGCCGCGGGTTGGGCTCCACCTCACCTGAGACGGCGACGCGATGGATCCGACGGCTCGAGACGGATGGAGGGCGGTGGTGGAGGGCGCCAACTGGGAAGAGCAAGGTGGAAAACCGTAGGAAAAAGAAGGTTCCTTTGACCAATTGGATGTGCTTTTCTCAGAACACCCTGCCAAGAAGACGCAAAAATGAACATGGAAGACCAAGGCGCTCTTGCCTTTTTTCTCCCTCAAAACCGCCAAACATATTGAGCTATTGTATGCCGGGCATGCCCTCGTCGGGCGCCCTTCGACCTTTAAATCTCCCCCGTCCACAGGTCTCTCGCAATGCACGAATCTCAAACTAAATCGACTGGAAACTGAATCCAGTGCAACTAAAGTAATGTTCTGATTCGACAACTTCGGACTTATACTGACTTAGTCTTGAATGTCAGGCTGGAGAAACCAATCCCATCTTCTAATTCGATCTCCACCAACTTGTTGCAACTGGTGCGTTGCGTGAATCAATGGAAGCTACCATGATAACAAGACCTGCTTTGTGGCAATCAGGTCTGCTTCGCTGCTTCACTTGACGCCCGCAGCTGAGCTCCGCTGCTCAGCTGCTCAGCTGCGGCCAGGCTCCGAAGGCCGTAAGATGAGGACCTCAGGCGAAATTGTTCGCATTCACCACCCGGCAATCTGGGACAGTCTGAAACAATCAGGAGCACCCCAAACCTTCGATTTAACCTTCGCAGCTGGGTCGCAACGAGCTTCTGAAGCTGAACACACAGGCTTTTCCTAAGCCCTCTCAGCCCTAGGCTAGCAGGCATGCGCCAAAGAGTTTGGTCAAGCTGGCACATGTCAGTTTAAGCAACGAGAACGTGTAGATAATGCAGACTGACTCCATGCGCACTCCTTACTACTAGCAAGATCACCAGTCCAAGCCGTTTCTGGTATTCCTCACTCCCACATCAAAAGTCTTCCACGCCACCTACCATCCGTCGCCCTCCGTTGGCCGTTGAGATTTCTTTTGAGCGAGTAGGGAACTGTCCTGGCAAGTTGTTCATTTGTAAATCAATGTTTTGATACTTCGGATCAGAGCGTTTGCATGGAATGTGAGTCAAAATGAGTTCTAGAGCTTTATCACGTCAACGGGCTTTGTCACGTCGAGTTACTATCCTTCCATGCCTAATCCTCAACAGGATCTCCAATTACCTTAACACACATCAAAATGGTACACTAGGTCACTAGTCAACCATCAACCGCACGAACCCTGCGAACCCTTTCGACTGCCAGATTCGCATTCCCTTTTGCCCCATGGATCTCCCTGAAGCCCTCCTCGCTGTGGCCGGACGCCGGTCGGCCCAACACACCCGGGGCGCCCCGCGGGGGTCGGACCCGGCCCTCAAGGGGGGCCTCCAGGTCGCGGAGGAGCCGGAGGAGGCGGAGGTTTCAACGGTGGAATCAGAAAGGTCCCTGGCTTTTTGAGGAATGAAAGCGTGAGCGAACAGGTGTCCGTTTCGGATAATTACTTCGCACTCAAATGAGAAATTGACCGACCTCTGATATCCAGGCCGAATTCACCCCAGGTGAAACTTGGACATGTTCAACAGAGCCAGTGAATTTCTCACAGCCAACGCTGTGTCGATCAGTGGTGGGCTCTTCGAAGCTCCTTGTGAGAGGCTCAGTCTCTCTCACTAACTAGACTTGTTGAGAGGTTGCCTTGCCAAATTAGGAAAAATCATTGACATGGCATGGCGTTGTTGGTAGTAACCGGATGCGACGCACAAGTCCATTCCCCCCCAAGGCAAGCCAAACAAAGCAGGTGTCCAAGAAGCTAGCAATATCGTCTCGTCACCGTCCTGCCAAATACAGTAGAAAAACCGAGCTCACGTGACAAAGCTAAATTACAGAGTTAGACATGGGACTCGTGTGCGAGAATCAAATCTGCATTGGATGAAACGTACCACAACCATGGCCAGAAAGCCATGACCTTTGCAACAGGTATGTTTCATACATGTGGGGAAAATACCTGTGTAGGGAGGCCACACCCACCGACATCGCGCCACGCCTGGCAGACACCCAACGTGCCCGTGCCAGGCCGTTCGCCGTCGAGTCGTCAGAAGGGCGCCAATACGATTCATCCGTCGATGACCCACTGGCTGGGGAAGAGTATTTATACCTGTTGACACTGGCAAAATCCGCGAATTAGGATTCGTCTGGATACATCGAACTCATCGAGCATCCAAAAACCTCCAAAAACAATACAAAGCTGGGACCTATGCAAAGCTGTGCCAGAGATACTGCCAACTTCCCTGATGCCTTCAGCTTGGGATGTATCCCAACACTACCTTCCACTCAACTTGCCAGCGTTACCAGCCTGTCCACTCGGAAAATAGGGGTGGACCAAACCCCCTACGAAGCGACCGGACGCGTCCCGCGGCGACCGGACGCTCCCCAGCGGCCGCGCGTCGCCTCTGAAGGTCTTGACGATGCTCTGCCTGAAGAGGCAGGTGCTGATGGTGTGAAACAAAAAGGGGACCGATGCATCCGATTCCCTCTACTCGGTGAACTCGGCAACGGGGCCCTTCGATGGAATCTCGGGGTTTTAACAAGTAGATAATGGGACGCAGGGTGACTGGTTCGGGGTTTCATCATGCTCTTGAAAAGTCTGGTTGCATCTGCAATATGCAAAGTAGGTCCGAGCTATTCCCTGAAGAAAACCAGCTGTCAGCGAAATGTCGCTGCCCACCACCTGGTCCTGTTCCTTCCTTGACAGCACAGAGTATCTCTCTTGCACTGGCGGCTTTGAACATTTGATTGCGGGAGGAAAGCCTCTATGACATCAAAACCTCGCTCTGCGTCAATTCCGCACTTCAGCTCCACACAGCATGAAGTCAGGCTTCCGACAAGCTGGTGAAGCACGCATGCTTCATACCAAGAACAAATGATCAAAGGAACACTCACTCGTGAAAAAGCACTCTCTGAATCGTAAACCTATATAGCCTGACACAAAACACCAACACAATTCCAACACAAGCTCCTCTAAACACCTTGATGATGTTTGCGATGCACATTTCGTGTGGTCTTCCCACAAAAACCTCAAACATACGACCCTCCGGGCCTCGTCGCCGGGAACACTCGCCCACCTGGCTGCGTAAACAGAGGTTGTTCACTTCAACGCACCATCCCGTGGTCGACCACGAGCCATGTCCCATGTCAATCACCCTTTGGAACTTATATAATCTATTGATGGCCTGAAACTAGATGTTTCGCGTTCAACGTTGAATGTCAGACTAGAGGAACCAATCCCATGTTCTCTCCCCACCATTGCACTAGCTCTACCAGTATTGGCACACTTTCGATCCTCGCTCCGGCCGCTGCATCTGGAAGACTGCTGTGTGCAGCTCGCCTGGAACTATTCAGCCTTGGAACTATTCAACTATTCCAACTAAAGTGAAACGGCATGCAATCCTTGAAGTTCTCCTACTAGAAGCTAGTTCCGACCCGCAGCACGGCACAAGGCATGCGCAGAGTGCCGTGTCGCAGTCCAAAAACCGATCTTCAAGGCGATGGCTGCGATGGCTCACTCAGCTGCTGCTCGGCTGAGAGCGCTCCGGCCATCGGCAGGCTGAGGCGTTGGGACCACTCGCGCTGGGCTGACAGCTCGACGTAGCGCTTCCAGTGGTTAATGAGCTCGGGACTGGCGGATGGCAATGCTTCGATCAAGATGCGGTAGGAGCCACTACTGTTGAATTTGAAGCTGGATTGGCCAAGGAGTGAGACCTCAGTGGATAAGTCGAAAAACTTTCCTGCTTCAATGCCGCCTCCCCTTGTGCGCCATGCCTTCAGCGTCTCTCCACTCTTTGTCACCAGATCTATCGTATGCCATCCATACGGTGCAATCACCCACTTCCGGATATTTTCGAAGCCTTCTTGCGACGAGTCCACGATCTGCCACCCAGGAGGCAGGTCGACCTGCAACCCACACATGTCGGTCCCATGCGTGGTGCTGTGCGGAGGCCCTGGCGGCCACACTGAGAACGTGCGGCCACCGTACTGGATGCAGTTTTCTGGCGGTAGAGATGTCACGGATTTGCTGATCTCCATGGTCTCCTCGTGCTTGCCATAGACTATGTCGATGGTCTCCTTGCTGGTGCCGTCACCGCCACTCTCAGCCGGACTCTTCACGGTGCTGTAAGCAATGTACGCGGTCTTCAAGCGGTTGCCATTCCTCTCCTCATGGTGGAAAGCGCCTTTCCCTTCTCTCCTCAGGCTCGCGATCTTCAAGGCCTCACTCTCAGCCTGTGTCAGTTTGAGTTCCTTTTCTAGGCCCGCCACCGCCTCATCCCATTTCTCGGCCCCGTAACCTTTGTGGTCGATGAAGCTGCGGCCCGAGACACTGCTGCTCGGAACGACCCTACCACCCTTTTGTTCAAGCTCATTCTGGGCCTCGGTTCCAACAAAGCATTCCGGACAACCAGTGATTCTTCCTTCCTTGGTCCAAATCTTACGTTCCATCAACAGCATCAGGGTTGGTCGCACCTGGGTTCTTCTCAGTATGCGGTGGCTTGGGCCTGGTGAGCATCACCTCTCGATGTCCTCAAATGACCCAACGTATGTATATGTCCTCCTGCTTGACTAAGACGTGAAAAGAACTGTGTTAACAAGGGGGGTCACCTGGAGGATATTTAAAGTTGCAGTAGCACCATCCAGGTGCTATACTCGAGAAATGTCCAACAGCTTTCTGCAGCCATGGATCTTTCTTCATAGCTTCGTCTGTCGCTTCTCCTCTACCAATAAAGTCCTTGAAGGCTTTGATTCTTGCTTGGACGGTCTGCTTGGCTGATTCCGAAAATGTTGGAGGGCGCCACCTCACCTAGCAAAGGATGCAGTCGCCACATGTATGGCAGAAGCTACTAGCCAGGTTGTTTGGAAGTTGACACAAGTAGATTCCTCAGGAGATCAGGAACAGAAGAACTCCGACCACACTGCTCTCTACCAACCATCTGCAGCGATACGAGCAATGATCATAGTATGAAATCAAAATACTCAGTGAATTGGCACAGGTTGGTGTGTTTCTCAGCACTGCAAGCAAAAGGCATTCATGTCTGGGGAAGGTCGCAAGAATTTACCGTCCAGCCAGCCTGCAAACGTGGCGGGTCACTATGATCATGGAGGAAGTCTTCAACGCCCATCTTCGTGGGCTTAAGCAACATTTGCTCTCCATCCTTGTCCTTGTAGAAAATGTTGAAGTCGCCCATGCTCAAACCAGCTTCTTGGAAAACTTGATGTAAGTATTCACTGTGCGGCCTCCATTGCGCGACTTTGGGCTGACCTTGGTTTGTCTCCTCCAAGAATTCGATCTTGACTTTCTCTGGCCACACTGCCTTCTTCTCCGACAAGGCAGACACCAAGGCTCCAATCTTTCTCATTGCCTCGGGGCCATACCTGGTGCGAAGGGCGCTGAAAGCAACTTGGCCATGCGTTCTTATTTACCCCACCGTTAGTTTGAATATAGTCTTCCTGAACCAATCTGAATGAAGCCACACAAGAGAATCCAACCTCAAGACCACAGTCGTCGTGAAGACACGCCACTCCAAGGGAAGTCTATCTATATTTAGTGGGAATGTCGACTGGCTGAGCCAAAAGAGGTGAGCGGACATTCCAACAGTTTCACAAGCTTCCCATACAAATATTGAACCCAGAGGCAGAATGGCAGAATGGCCTCATCCTGTGGAAGAACACAAACATTCTCTTGCAGCTGAAGCACCGAAGGGCAGAGCCAACAGCCCAAACAGCCCTCGCAACATCTCCCATCTCCGGGCCCGAAGGAGCGCAGAAGCGTCGGTTCGTCACCGCAACCACGCCCAGAACCGGCGCATGGCCGGACCCTAAACACGGAGCCGGCCGTGCGCAGGGCCGTTGCCACAAGGGCTGCACATGACGCATCCTCTGCAAGCTGCGCATCTGGAAGAGGGCTCGGAGCGGCTCTGGTCGGGAATTGGCCAGGTTCGATCCACAAGCTGGCTTTCATCCACGCAAACGACTCACGAAAAAGGGCGTCTCAATGACACACTGAGACAAACCAAAAGGCAGAAGCCATTGAAGCCCAACTGAACGTGCTAGGGCCCTGGTATGTGCTGCTACCCGTTCCCTTTCCGCCCACGCTCCCGGCCTCTGTGGATCCTCACGGACCTCAGCAGCGGCCTCGGAGCGTCGTTCCACAAAATGGGTCGTGCAGACATGGAGGACATGGAGGACACGGACCAAGAGGTGTACACCATACATATATCATATGGGTGTGTAACTTTTTAATAGGGAGACATCCTGGCCCTGGCTGGGTAGAGTGGTCTCTTCCAACAGGGTCGAACTGGGAGAGCCCATATGGGAGGTTGTCCCAAAACAAGGAGGTAGCGAGGGGGCACCCCCGAACTACTGCTGGTTCTCGGCGTTCTTTCGCTCTTGTGAAGCCCGGCCCCACGTGTGCAGGCAGGGCCCAAAGCCACTTTCCAAGATCCTAATCATAAGAATCTACGAGAACCCCATGGATTTGGAGATAGCATCGACTTCCGGCATTCCCTTTTTCTGGGTGGGAGGCGAGGGGAAGGAAATCTGTCTCAGTAACAGTATGGATGGGTATGTTGTAAGGGAGGTCTTTAACCAGTGGATAGATCTATTCTCCTTCTTCTTGGGGGTCTTTGGGGGGGGTCTCCCTACTTTGATACACACCGCCAAGTAGGGTGGGAAGTGAAAAAACCCTTGGCCCGGCGCGATACTGGAAGGAGATGGGAAGCTGGCGGGTTGTCTCACAAAAAATCTTGGCTGTTGGTAATCTTCATATGAATGAATCGGAAAACAAGAATAACTATACACTACCATGACTATCCTGGTTGAGCTCCTAACTCCTAGCTACTATGAATGAATCGGAAAATTTGAAATATACACACTCCTGACTATCCTGCTTAAGTTCTCAGCCTCTGTACATCACCAGCACCTACATCCAGCTACAAGTTATTACCCGCCTGGCAAAACCTTGCAAGCGCTCTTTTTTTTGGGAGCCAACCTGCATTGTTGGTTTGACGTCGTCTTTGTTTCCCCACCTGCCGCTCTCCAACTTCATTGCTCAGCCGGTACCTGCAAGAAACGAGCTGAAGATCTTTGCAAAAATTGATATTTTGCAATTGAGTGGAAATGCCAAAGGAACAAAAAAGCAATGACTTGCGGCACCAACGAAACAGCGTCAAGTGAAACGGCTGAAGCTTGAAATGGGCCAACGGGTGGCCACAGGGATCCGTTTCGCCAGCATCTGAACGGAGATCCCATGTGAAATCCATGTTTAGATTTAAAAAAGACTTCCCGTCCATGCACCTCAAAACTGACTATCAAAACAAACCAGCGAAGCACGGGAAACGACATCTCCCCTGGCGCACCACTTCGCCTTGAAACCTCCAGGGTCGTGCGAGCTCGGCGTGCTCTCAAGTGCCTTTCTCGGGCCTTGAGCCTGGGCATGTGAAGCTGATTGGAGCGAACTGAGACACACAAACATCCGCTTGCTTCTTTAGGACAAGTGATTACTAGTCTTGAGATCAACATCTTCAACCTGGTGGCAGGCAGAGATTTAGAAGAACATGCTTCACCCAAGCACAACAAAGGGCGATGAAAGCCAAATGCCAGAAGAGGTCGTAAAAACTTCCGCGGTTTGCCTGGAACTGTTCGACGCTCTTGGAGGAGAACCAACTCGGAGACACATGTTGCTTTGACCGGCGCAGCCCTCCCATTTTCCACCGTGGATTCTTGCCACATGTGGCATGCTGAAGATCCTTATTTAGAATGCCCGGTGAATAACGCCAAAATCGTTGGACTCAGGACTTTAATTGAAAAGCTGTATTTGAATCCGTCCGTTCTTTTTTTCCAAGGTCGACGCTCAATTTTCTTGACTGAGATTCCGTCGTGTTAAAATCCTCGGGCCGACGTTTTGTTATAATCCTTTCCCAACCCTTGATGATCGCATCTGATACATTGGGTCCTCGAACAACGAAAAAATATCCGGTGTGTCCCGAAATCGGTGCTTTTTGTACAAAGGATCAAGGAAACGTCCCAAAATCGAGCCCTTTATAAAAACATATATATTTAATATATATATATATGTTTTTCAAGCAAAAAAGTGCTAATGATGCAGCTGGCCGCGGGCAGCATCATTCAAGCCACGTCAACTCAAAACATGAGTAAGGATGCTAACATTGGCATGTGCCTCCGTTAACTCCTTAGTCACTCGAGGGTCGTATATTAAAATCATACCTTGATCCTGTGCAACCAACCACAGACAGGGAAAAACGCGCATTACTAAAGTCCTGGCCTAACAAACCATGTGGTCATCAATTTTGCTGGTATGTTGTTCCAACATGTTTATTAAAAATCCTTGTTCCAAGGTTGAGTTTTTCTTTGTTGCTAGTTTTTCGTGTCGGATCATTCCTGGACGCAGGTGGTGTTCAAGAAAAGAAAAACTATTTTGGCCGGGGTTGACCCCTAGGATTTCAATATGGATTATCTAAGGGTATTTTAGAGGATGCTCCTCCTAGCAAGGCCCCTCTTGAAGCTTTTATAGGAACTCTATCGTCTCGCCCTCAAACAAACCACCACCAGTCATCTCTAGACCATGGCACACATGGCCTCAACTTCTGGATCATGGTTGTGACACCAGCTTCTCAAACACCCAGCACATTGATGCAAATAACTAACTAACTCAAGACCCAGCCGTTTTGGGGCCCCGGGCTCCCGATCTGTGGCGCATGCGCTCGGGCCTGCCCGTGCTTCTTACTCTTGGTGAAAAGCTCGCCAACCGCCAACCAGACTGTTTGGGGGTCAACACATGTCAACACATGTCAACACCCCAAGGTTTATATAGTCGAACAAAGCGGAAATGCACTGAGACCGATCCCTCGACGCAAAGCCATTGGGCGGCGTAGTATGGACGTTTTGGACGTCCAAAGGTCCCCTGAGACCAAACCCAACGTGATGAGCTCAGCAAGCTTCTTGCCTCACGGCCTGAGCCTCTCAGCGTTTTGGCTGCCTGACTTGTTGGACTAAGCTTCAGCCAAGTCGACCAAAAGCAGCCTGCACTTCACTGCTTCCCGAGGGATTCTGTACCAAAACCTTCAGCCTAACCCTTGTCACCGGCTGCAACAGAACTTCAACACTTCGAAAGGTGAGATGGGCTTCGCAAGGGCGGCGGCAACACAACTTCGAAGGAATTGTTGAAAGCTTTACAATTTTGACCTTTTTGATCTTTTTGACAGTTCACAGTACAATGTGACCTTGGTGATGCAACTTTGCGCGGCAGACAATCACACACATCAATAAGACACTCTCAATTGTCAAAAAGCGGGTCTGCAAGTCTCCTTGGTCAACCAAGTTATGGCATTCTACATGCTCTGGAGCATGGCTGCTCAGCACCTTAGCACCTTGCCACCCAATCTGCAAACAGCACCGTGGCACCCTAGCACCCACAGCACCGTGGCACCCTGGCAGGCAAAACGCAAACCAACACCTCCCTCTATTGGAAGTAAGAACCCCTATAGCTTTCAGCTATCAGAGGAAAAATGACCCTTTCCACCCTCATCTTTTCCATCCGGCCTGCTCGAAAACCATCCGCAACTTTTCCTCACCAAAGGTGCCGAGCAAAGCTGGGCGATAACGAATGGACCAAATTGCGCAGTCATCTCATGTTTGAATTGCAATCTGCCGCTTGAAACCGTCTTGTTCTTTTGGAAAAGGGAAATCAAAAGTGGAGATGCTTCGCATTTTGTAAAGGTAAAGCAAGAAAATAGGGTAATTGTCAGTTTCATAGAGTTGCTGTTGAGCTTAGTAAAATAATGCCATGCTTCAGGATCACAACTTCTGTCCATTCGGTCCTTTAATGCGTCAACTCTCGTTATTCCCGGGTTCCGCCTCGGTCCAGGTATCGCCGCCGTTGCAGACTGACCACTGCGGTTTGACTGGATCAAGCTTAGGCGTGGTGTGAAATCGTGTAGCACGTGTATGGTCTATGCTCAGGGCTTCAAGTTGTTGATTTGAGAATTTGAGATGGCGGGGTTTACGTTCACATTCGTGTGAGTAATCTTGGGGCAGGCTGTTTCGTCTGTTTCACATTGTTTCACCATGTTGAGAGTTTCCGTATCAGAAAAATGCATAGAAGTGAGATATTGCCAACGAACATGAAATCTGACCTCTCACAACAGTACACTCAGTAAGCAGCACAGTGAGCGGGGGCAAATCAAGATACTGAAAAGGCAAACGTGTTGCAGGAGCCAAGACGGCCGCAACAAAAATCGACCTCTGCCTCCTTCTCAGTAGTTAAGCTGTCGTCAAACATGTCCAAAATGCCGTTCATCTCTGCGAGAGGATAAAGATCAATTGTCAATGTCAAACGTGT